ACTTGACATCAAGAGGCTGATCTTCATTTGGCCCGAATATGGATGGGAAATAATCAGGAATAACATATCCCAGAATTAGGTTGGCATCTGTAATTGCCAACTCTCCTCCTTTCCGGTAACATACAGGACCAGGGTGAGCTCCAACTGATTCTGGTCCAGCTTTAAAAGCTCCAAATTGAAACTTCAACTTTGAACCACCACCAGCAGCCACAGTGTTTATGTCTAGCTGGGGTGCTTGTATTATGGCCCCGGCAATCTGGGTTTCCAGCACTTGTTCATAACTTCCAGCATATCGACTCACATCTGTAGATGTACCTCCCATATCAAATCCAATTAAAGGCTTATCTGTTTCAAGTTCAAAAAGAGTTTGTGAGTAACCAACAACTCCACCGGCAGGGCCAGATAAAATTGCTTTGTGCCCTGAGAAGGAACTCTCTGGTGCAAGGCCTCCATCTGATTGCATAAACAAAACATTCAACCTCCCAACTCCCTCATCAAACTTGGAGATAAATCCTGACAGGTACTCTTTAATAACTGGGGTCAGATACGCATCTACACTAGCTGTTAGACCACGAGGAACAGCACGGACCATTGGAGTCAAAGCAGACGATATAGAAACATGTCTGAATCCAAGACTCAAAGCTAACTTCTCAACCTGTTGTTCATGCTGTGGATATGTGTATGAGTGCATCAAAACAACAGCCAGGCAACTAATTCCTTTCTCCAATAAAATTTTCAGTACAGGCTTCAGTGCTTCTTCATTAAGAGGCTTTACAATCCTGATGAGCTCCCCTGAAATTCCTTTAACCAGTGATGAAGAAGCACCCTGATTTTCTTCTTCTTCCTTAGTCTGAACAAGCTGAACTCTCTCCTCCACCTCTACAACCTCTTCATAAAGATTTGACGGCTTTGACACAGTAAGGTCAAATATGCTGGGGCGAGCCTGGTTACCGATCTGGAGTAAATCTCGAAAGCCTTGAGTCACACACACAGCAATCCTTTCTCCTTTTCGCTCTAGAAGTGCATTTGTTGCCACAGTTGTACCCATCCTTATCCACTCGATCTTCTCGGTGGGTATCTTCGAATTGCGTGGAATTTTATTGCCAGTGAATTCTTCAAGGATCCTCCGTATCCCTTCCACCGGAGCATCGTCATAGTTGGAAGGGTCAACTGACAGAAGTTTCAAAACTCTGCCGTCAGGCTGACCTGGGATTTCAGCATAAACATCAGTGAACGTACCCCCTCTGTCAATACAAAACTTTAACTTCCCTTCAGCAACACTCCCCATCCAATTTCCCTTTTAGATCACAATTACAACACCCTGAAAATTCATAAGGATTGCAATCTAATCACCACCACATTAAGTAAATAAACCCAAAATATAAAATAATAACAATAATAATCAAGGATTACATTTCACTAAATAGGTTAACATAATCCGATATATATATATACACATGTGTATAATGAAATCCATTTGAATCGGTAAAGCTATAATCAAGGATTGAGTTCCCACTGAAACTGAATGAACTAGTTGCATAAATCAATTAAACAAGACCCAAAATTTCATTTGCTCTGAGTGAGGTATAGCCACATAGGAATATGAAATTCTTTGACAGTGTATAAATATATTTCTGAAAAACGCTAACAGCAGAAGATGATAGATTTAACCAACAATCAACTTGCACATACCATTAGCTAAAATTTCAACTCTTATTGGAAAATTATTAAGAAAAGATAATAATAATCGATAGATAAGGGAACAACGCGAATTTTATTGTATTTAATGAAGTAGAAAAACACTGCATCACTCAAATATTTTCATTCCATAGAATCAAAATGCGGGTTAAGAAGAAAGATGAAAAGAAAATGAATTGAAAAAAGAAAGTAGCAATCTTACAAGGTATGTGTATGCCGAGAAAGAAACGGGAACAAAAATGGCGTAGTTGCGGGTTGTGATGGGTTTTCTACTTTTCTAGTTCCATAATAATATGATAATAATTGTATACGGAGATGAAAAGATAGTTTTGTTTTTTCTTTCAATTTTTAAATGAATCCCTTTACATTATAATTTTTCAATTAGATATTGTCATTGACTTTTAATGTTTTAAAATTTTATAGAAATAGGGGATGAAAAATGATTTATCATCTCAATAAAAAAAATGGGTTAGTTATTTTAGCGGTAAAAAATAATTTGAAAATTTTACAAATTGACATACTTTCCTAAAAAAAATCAAATATAAAGGTGAAATTAAAAGCTGATATAAAATATGAGACAAAAGATTGTAAAACTAAGTTAATAATAGGTAAATACTAAAATCTAATATTATACTTTTTATTTGGTACACTAGAAAAACAGAGACTATACTAGTTTAGATCGATCATTTGCCAGGTTAAAATGGTAGTCATAAGGGGCCATTGTCCAAAACATAAGCTCCTATGATGAGTGAGATCTAATTCTTACCATGAAGTCGACCACTTGATTAACCTTCCGAATAATATATTTGACCTCAAAGGTCCAATCATGAGATAACAAAACACGAATATTAGTGACCACTCCTAGAATTTGGTGAAAACGAACATGAACCCCATCACTAATTATTTGGACTGCCTCTTGATAATGACTTTCCTATATAACTTTTTAAACCTCATACTCCAAGCAAGTTTTAGACCATGATTTATAGCCTTGAGCTCTGCCAGAATAGGCGAACCAACACCAAAATTAGCAGAGAATCCTGACAGCCACTGACATGCATGATCTCTGATAGCTTCACCTCCTCCCATAACCTTCGAAGTTTTAATGAAGTTATCATCTCCATTAATTTTAATCTGACCAGTTTTTCGGGGACACCAAGTAGTTTCCTCCTCAAAGACACCTTCACCTAAACAATGCCACTCCCGATAATTATGATAAACAATAAGAACACCAACATTGATATCTCAAATACTCGTCCCAAGATGGCGTTATTACGACCTCGCCAAACCCACCAAATTCCAGCCAGAAACATTATCACATTCTGCTGCATGCAATTTCCTAGCACCCATGAACTAGGGATGGCAATGAAAACCGAACTCGCGGGTATCCGCCCGAACCCAACCCGAATTTAGCGGGGAAAACCCGATGTGATTGGGTTCGGGTTCGGGTTTTATCCGGGTTCGGATTCGGGTTTGGTATTGTTAATACCCTACCCCGAACCCGATTAATATATATAAAATTATAAAATTACACATAAATACATATATAAAAACTATATATATATAAATTTCTCACATATATATATATATATATAAATTTCACACATATACATATACATATATAAATATATAAAAGCTATATATATATATAAATTTCACACACATATATATAAAAATAAATGTTTTGGTTCGGGTTTTTTTCGGGTTCGGGTTACCCGAAACCCGACGGGTTCGGGGATTGTATTGTTATTTCTAACCCCGCTTAATTCGGGTTCGGGTTTTGAATTTCGGGTTCGGGGTTGGGTAAGCACAAACCTGACCCCGACCTGCCCCGTTGCCATTCCTACCATGAACGAAATGACCGAGCTACCTAGAAGGATAGGTTAGCCCAACCAAGTCTTAACCGTAAAGTAGAAGAGTGAGGAAAACATGCATAATATTCTCAATACGTGCATTACACCTTAGGCATGAAAGACTAACCGTCATTTTGCTTCTGGAATGAAGCTCATTAGAGAGCAAAGCCTCATGAAAGCCCAATCAACGTAAGAGTTTCACTTTCTCTAGAATCCAAAGGCGCCATACGAACTTCCAATCATTAGTCTAAAATTCATCCTCTTCCATTAATATTATACTTTAACCTCGTCTAAATGAACTATCTTATGCATATGATTTACACATTAACATAAAGAAATTACTTCATAAAATTTGAGAATTTTTGTCTCCAATTGTATTGTTTGTGTTTATCACTTTAGTGATATTAGACAAATAATGTTACTTGAAGTATTTTTTTAACTATTATTCTAAAGGCAATTTAAAACATACCAAGAGTATAAAGTTTATTTTGGAAATTAATATATTTTATATTAAGAATTATTATTTTAAAGAAATTTAAGAATGATTTTATTTTTTTAATTGCTTAAATAATAGTTAGCTAATCACTTATTATGATATATCTTTGTTGAATGGGCATATGGATTGGAAGTTGTGTAATGTATTGGCATCAAACTGTTTTTTAATGAGTTAGATCACGGCACGGGGTATACCTTATACAACTAATTAGATCCATAGCACAGGGACCGAGGTGATTTTAAAAATATTATTATAATATTAATATATTATGCATCGTGAAGGGTTAAGCATCTTTATCTGTATTAATAATAAGTAATAACTATGAAGGAACGAGGTAGGAAAGATTTAACAAAACCAAATCATGTACAATTTTGTGAACAAAAATAAGTGTTGTAATGGAAGAAAGTGTAATAGTACGATCTGATAGAAGGTATCTGATATAAGGTAAGCACAAATCTAATGTTGATCTATTGTATATGTCATTTCTCTATGTCACTTCTATGTGTCATCAATTATAAATTGACATGTTAATTAAAGTTGCACCATAATAACAAATAAAAAATTAACAAAATATAACTGTGAGTTTGTAATTGGTGACACATGAAAGTGACATAGAAAATTGACATAAACAACTCGGACTCATTCAAATTTATTATTAGTGTGAGGACTGATTAATAAATAATTTGTAAATATTTGTGTTGATGAAGCTTAAGATTTGCGTGTCTTAGATGGTGATTGTCAGGTTGGGACTGCTGCAATATTTTTGTATATATTTTGATTAGGTATTTTTATTTATCTTATTCTACTTGTCTTCTCTAATGAAGACATATTCAATTATTATTTTCTGCACTTTAGTCATTTCACTCCTTCAAACGAATGAGACAAAAAAATACGACCCTAGCATCAACTTTAGGATGTTTACCAGAAAAAACTATAAATTAATACAGAACCAACCAACCTTTAGATAAATAATTTTAATTGGTTAAACATTGATCACCAAGTGGCTGTAGTTTAGTGGTAAGAATTCCACGTTGTGGCCGTGGAGACCTGGGCTCGAATCCCAGCAGCCACATTTTTAACTAATAATTTATCAATAAGTCCAGTTAAGAAAAAAATAGGGTACGATATATAATCGGTATATAAATATGTTATTCAACATCAATAATAAAGAGTACAACGTTTTTGACACCAAATAATAAATACTCCAACAATTAAGACCTCACACAATACTCTCACACACACACTATATAAATAATGCATTATACTCATATATAGCAAGCACTATGGTGCAACTTGAAGTGAAGTTATTTTAAGGGCTAGTGGTTGAAGGTGGTGGGGAGAAGAATGGAATGGAAGGAATAGTAGTTGGGATTGAAGGAATGTTTGTAGGGATGCTAGGAAGTGGTGGCAGAGATGAGATTGTAGGCAATTGAGGAACATTATTATTATTATTACCCTGAGGTAATGTTGGAAATGAAGGCAAAGGTGGCAACAATGTTGTTGGATTATTAGGCAAAGTGGGAATAATGTTTGGAAAATTTGGTTGTGTAGTTGTTTGCAAAAGATGGCGACCTTCTAGGCTTAAACTCATGCTTGAGAAAACCAAAGCAAATAGGAGGGCTATGATAAAGGAATTGCTAGAGGCCATTACAAGATTGAACAAGTTTTTTGTGTGCAAAAGAAGGAATTTGCTTTGTGATTTGATGAGAACATAGGGAATGGTGTTTGATCTTATATAGAGTGAGAGAGATTTGAAGGATACTAGGGTAGCATGTAGAGTTTGGAGAACTACATTAAAAGAGTCATTGCATTAATCTTTTGTTAGTTCAACAACATACTTTGTTTAAAAAATAATATTTTGTGGTTTAAGTTGTTGGCTATTATATTGTATATAACATTCAAAAGTAGGATGACCAACCCATCTGTTTTGTAAGAATTAGAACTGGAAAAGTATGAAGATCACGTGTCTCATTTTTTGTGTCTTAATGTGTCACAATCCAGTTAAAAACTGTCATGTAATTAAAAAGAAAATAAAAAATAAAAAATAACATCTTTAACATTACTTGGTACAGTGTGATTGACTTGGGACATGAGAACATGAGTTTTTTTTAGAGTTGATCCTTATTCAAAAAAGTTATATTTGTGAGTATATCATCTGATTCATGATACCACGGGTAACGTTTTTGGGTCAATGGTGTTTCACCCTATCATATAGATTAGTAACATAACAATTTATAGTGAAGAATCAATTTTGCTCCCCAAATTTTTTCTCCATCCTATTTTGTCCCTTGAAAAAAAAATAAACTTACCGAATAGTTATTAGGTGTTTTATTTGAAGAGATATTTTGCTTCCTCAAATTTCTTTGGTCCAAAAATTATTCCACAAAAATAGAATAAATTAGGTACAGTAAAAAAATTTCAAAGACAAGATATCTCATCCAAAAAAAATTGAAGAAGTGTTGGTTAACTTTATTGTTTTAAGGATTAAATTGTCCTATAATGAAATTTATTGAAAGGATTGTTTCTAGACTTTTGTTTTTAAGGACAATATTATGCCGATCAAAAAAATTTAGATCTTAACACAATATTTTAAAATACTATTTATTATTGGATAATTCTCAGGTGGATTTTATTAACGTACATTGTCTACTATAAAATTTAACATGTAAAATATCTCTAATAATAAGATTGGGTTGGAAATTCTACATGGCCCTATTGTCCTTATGAGGATCTATTGAGTGGGTAATTAGTAAGCACGTCAATAAACACTTATAGAGTTATGAGGTCTAACTCAATCCTAATGAACCATTGAGACCTAATTCTCATAAGCTTTTAGTTTGTGAAACGTAATGATAAAGATATCTTAAAAATGTTTTCCTAATTAATTCTCTATGGCAACTCATCTGAATGCCAATAATGTATCATGAACAACGATATTAAGAAACCTTTTGTCACTCATTATAATGTATTTCATTTGAAGAAAAAGTTTGAATTTTAATAACCTAAACAAAATAAATAAGAGGTATCTATTATGCAGTGTAAACTCTTTAAGTTCCCACCTTGGTAGCTACATTATGGTAATTTTTATTTTCACCTTCATTTTATTGACTTACACTTGAATTTTACTTCATCATTATTTTTAACCTTTTTTATAAACAAAAGTTAAGGTGTGACTTTGATGCGCATTGGAGCTAGGTTCATCAATAGAATCAGAGCTACCACATAAAAACACTTAAATAGATACTTAGATATTATATATAAACAAAATACTCATGTTACCAATAGAATTAGAACTCATATTTTTGTAAGATATGAGATGATTTCTTTCCAAACAAACTAACCTTTTGTTGACCTTTATTTTTAACTTTATTTCCATTCATAATAGAGATATCAAGTACTCTAGAATTAAATTTGTGAAATAATTTATGGTGATAACTTATGTGGCAAACAAGTAGTATAGTCACGTCATCCACCTTATATTAGTTATAGATAGAAACTTAATGAAGGAATTAAAGATGAATAATTGGAAAAAAATTGAGAATCGAAATTCCTCAAATAAAAAAATTAGAGACTGAGTTTTGCAGGTGGGTAAAAAATAAGTGATGAAATTTATATTTGAGGTTAAATTTTTTCTTCAAATGAAATATATTAAAAAATTTATTCAAACGAAATATGATTCAAATAGTTCTCAGCCATCCAATAATTTCTCATAAATAAGTAACGTGTATATTACTGAACTAAATAAAAGATGAGCCAAACCCTCTTTATTTTTACTTATTAGTCTTCATTCACTAGTTGAATTTTGGTGAAGAAAAATGGATACTTGTAAGACATTTACGAAGTTTTATTTTATTTTAATTTCCCTTCGAAACTCACCTTACACATGAAATTAGTTATAAATAAAAAAAGTAAGCTTACATAGAGGGCATAAATGCAAATCATTCATATTTCACTCACCACATAATTATTATTTTAAGTGATGAAGGTATCAAGTGATGAAGGTTTCTTGGATGTTTAGAAATCTTTTTGTCACTTTGACATTTTATCAACAAATTTAAAATGGATTGTTTAAAAATTGTGTACACAAGGAGTGTAAAATTTGGAATTTTACTCTGCTAGTGAAATATAACATGGATTATTTATTATAAAATATTGACTATACCATATACTTATATAGCAATAGGTCTCCCATTACATGAAGTAGTACAAAAGAAAATCCCAAAAAGGGAAGTTGAAAACAAAGAAAGAAAACTATGGCCAACAAGGCAACAATATATAAAATAAGCAAAGTATAACATAATATCATCATGTCTCATGTCTAGTATAGTAGTAGTAGTAGTACAACCCTAATACATCATAAAAAGCAACACATCACAGAAACCAGTGTGTGAGAATAGTGCTTATTATATATCCAACTTGAGTAGTTTCAGGGGCTGGTGGTTGAAGGAGGTGGGGAGAAAAATGGGAAGGAAGGGAAAGTGAATGGAATGGTTGGGATTGAAGGGAAGTTTGGGAGTGAAGTGGCTGGGAGTGGTGGCAGAATAAACTGTGGTATAGTGGGAATGGTAGGAAAAGATGGGGTTGTAGTAGTAGGCAATGGTGGAACATTTACCTGAGGTAATGTTGCAGGTATTGGAGGCAAACTCGACCCTGGGGAAGTTGCTGTTTGAAGAAGATTTCGTGCTCCTAGTCCTGTGTTCATCATTGAGAAGGAAACAGCAATAATGAAAATAACCAACATGGTGCAACTGTAATAGGCCATGGCTAGTTGAATTACAAGTCTTAAGAACTTTGCTATATGAGTAGTTAATAGTTAAGTGTGCATATTCCAGAGAGTTGTGAATGGTCTTTTATAGAGAATGAATGCATGCCCTTGAGGTTAAGACGTACCCTTTGAAATTTCTTCTTGTTAGATAACCATCCTTAGACTTTGTTAGACTACTTTGAAGATAGTAATGTAACAGTGGAGAATCATAAGTATGGTAACCAACTTTTGTGACTCTCTTTTAAAATGATTTCTTGTGGGTTACTATGTATGTATGTTTGGTAAATTAAACCACCAAACTTCTTTAAGTCATCTTTTGATCCTCATAAGATGATTTGTATAAGAAGATTCAGGGGTATATTTTATTATTAGGAAGTAATTAACAGTTCTCAATGTTGGTACTAATCTTCACAAAATAAAAAACATTCTATATGTTCTTATATGAACTGGGATCTGCTGTCCCATTTGGTGTCCCAAATGGTGTCTCAGACCAATCACATTGTCTTATTTAATTAAAATAAAAAAGTATAAAAATATAAAATAATATTTTATATTATTTAGTGAATTTTTATTGGATGTCCGTTCTTATATATCCTTGTCCTTTCGTGAAATAATCCTAGCGTAGCTATTGATCTCCATAAACAACAAAAGTTCTCATGGTTATATGTTGAGTAAAACCTGATCATTCAAAATATTGTTGGTATATCCTTTTTTTGTGTGCACAATTTGCTTATATTGCTAGTTTTTCCATATGGAATATCATAACAGGGTTTTCATATTTTCCCCATCTTTATAAAAAAAACTAGTTTATTAAATTCTTTTTAATGGATTGTACACAAGTACAGCAATAAAATTGATGAATTTATTACGAATAATACGTGTGGAGATATCATCCCACGCTTAATCGAACACAGATCCTCTGTCCCAAAAACTATATCCTTTTTTATCCCTGCCCAATAAATTACCACCAATTAATATAATTTTGTTTTTATAATTTTCATTTTTAAGTAAATGACGCAATCTGATTGGTATGGTACATAGATGGAGACGTGAAGCGGGACATAAGATATTTATCCATCTGAATCTTCTAAGTTCTAATCATCTACCCAGGGTTAGATTGTTTAAAAATAAGAAATAAGTAATTTTTGTACTATGTAAAGAATTGATTAACTTTTAGTGCATTTTGTTGTAAAATAGAACTTTTTCGTTTTTTATTAAAATCAAAATAATGAATTGTTATTTAATATTTATGTTATTCAAAATAGATATTGATTATAGTGAACAAATTAAAAAAAAAATTGGGTTCTTATTAGTTAAAAAATATCC